CTTCCGGTGGAAAGCGTTTTATTTTAAATTTACGGGACCTGAATTCGTTTCTTTCCCCGCCACACTTTAAAATGGAAGATTGGCGCATTGTTGTGCAGCTCATACTACCAAACTCTCAAATGGCTACTTTGGACCTTGAGGACGCTTATTTGCTTGTCCCTATTCATCCTTTACATCGCCGTTTTCTTCGTTTCCAGTGGCGGGGTAGATGTTACGAATTTACGTCTTTACCATTTGGTCTTTCAACGGCGCCTTTTATTTTTACTAAAATTGTACGGCCTGTAGTTCGAATTTTGCGAGAGCAAGGCTTCCAATCGGTGGTTTACCTTGATAATTTATTATGTTTAGGGGCGTCAGTTCAAGAGTGCCGAGAAAATGTTAAAACATCGCTGCAGCTTTTTACATCCCTGGGATTTCTTATTAACTACTCTAAATCCCACCTCGAGCCTTCGTCTCAGTGTATTTATCTGGGTTTCCTGTTTGACTCTACTCAACAGTGCCTTTCTATTCCACCTGAAAAAAGACGTAAGCTGCTGTCGCTTATTCATCGCATGGCACATACGTCCCATTGCTCCATCCGAGACTTCGCGAGTTTCATCGGCTCTTTAGTTGCGGTATGTCCGGCGGTCCGTTATGGCCCCCTGTATATTAAGCAATTTGAACGCGTCAAGTTTCTTATTCTCAAAGCTTCTTCAAACAATTACTCAAAGCAAATGTCCATTCCTTCTTTTCTTCTCGACGATTTTACTTGGTGGCATAAAATATTTTCTGATTCATCTCAGCATAATATTATTCGGTCTGATTCCTTCGCCTGCGAAATTTTTTCTGATGCCTCGCTCACAGGTTGGGGTGCTGCTTATGATAATCAGCGTACGCATGGCTGGTGGTCGGCTTAGGATCGCCTTCTTCATATCAATGCTTTAGAATTGAAAGCGGTCTTTAATGCTTTGCTTTTCATCTCCGTCATTGTAATATTCTTTTGCGGATTGATAACACCACTGCTCTCTCTTATATTAACAGATTCGGTTCTGTTCAGTACCCTGTTCTTTTGGCGATAGCTCGCGATATTTGGCAATGGTGCGAGGAACGTGATATCTTCCTCTACGCGTCTTACATTGCCTCCATAGACAATGTTATCGCAGACAACGAATCGCGTATTTCTGACACCGACACTGAATGGTCTCTTACTGACTGTGCTTTTCAGTTAATTGATCGACATTTTGGTCCTTTTGCTATCGATCTCTTTGCATCCGCCATTAATACTAAAAATGATCTCTATGTCTCTTGGTTTCCCAATCCTGGTTCATGGGCGACCTTTACTCTTGATTGGCATCGTTTTTATTTTTATGCTTTTCCTCCGTTTATCTTGTTCTCTCGTGGTTTACGGAAATTTATTGATGATAAAGCTATCGGCGTTCTTGTTGTGCCTTGGTGGCCTTCACAACCATGGTTCCCCACTTTCCGCCGCCTGCTAATTTCTAAACCAATCTTTCTGCCACCGTCCTATTCCCTTATCTTCTCCTATTATCTTCTCCTTTTAGGGATCATCACCCAGAGTGGCGAAACCTTTCCCTGGCGGTAGGGAAGTTATCCAGGAAGCCTTCCAGTCCCAGTCAGTCCCATCCTCCGCCTTAGACACTATTCTCGCCTCTTTGACACCTGCTACGTTGAAGCAATACACCCGTCTGCTCCGCTCTTGGTGGGATTTTTGTCGCCAACATGAGATTTCTCCATTTTCTCCAGACATTTCCCTTTTTCTACAATTTTTATCTTTGGAGTTGCTTCATGTCGGTTCGTATTCTACTCTGAATACGACTCGCTCGACGATCTCTCTCATTTCTACCAAAAAGATTGGGAACCACCCTTTAGAAGATTTTGTAAAGGAGCCAGTTTCGTAAAACCTCAACGACCCCGTTATGATTTTATTTGGGATCCGGCACCGGTAATTTCTCATTTAGCGACTATTTTTCCTTACGATTCAGCTCCGCTCAACAAGGTTACCATGAAACTGGTTCTTCTTTTAGCTCTTGGTTCGGGTCAGCATGCTCAAACGATAGCCTCTATTAAAATTTCACAAATTCAGTTTTCACAGGATAAACTTTTAATTCGTATCCCGGACCGTATTAAAACATCGGCCCCGGGACGATCACAACCATTATTAATGTCTTTTCGTTTCTCTGATCGTCCATCTCTATGTATTATCCTTATCTTAAAACATTATTTAAATATTACTTTGGATTTGCGTCCATCGCTTTGCGATGCTTTACTTATATCCTGTAAGAAACCTCACCAGCCTGTTAGCGTGCAGACAGTCAGTCATTGGATTAGACAAGGTCTGGAGTTCTATGGCGTACAAACAACTCTTTTTTCAGCCTATAGTACTCGCCATGCTTCCACTTCTCTTGCGGCTAAGAATGGCGTGTCTATTGATTTAATTAAACGCGCTGCGGGCTGGTCGGGTGACTCCCAGGTTTTCGCTAATTTCTATCAACGACCGATTCTTAACCCGACAGATTTTTGTACTTCCGTTCTCTTATCTTAAGTGTTATTTAATGTATTATTGTGCTTTCTTATTTATTTTATAAAGTTGATTATATGGCAAATCGTGCCCTTCCTCCATTCTTTGAACATCTACATAGTTTATCCATCCGGACGAGACACTTTGGCATAATTGTAAGATTAAACGAACCTACCAAGTGAAGTTCGATCTTAATTATGCCTGGTGTCTCGTCTGGATGGACTTTCCTCACCCTCAAGACTTGCACGTCTTGTTTTACACTCCCCGACTTTGGTCAACGATTTGCCTTCTTTAGATTTAAACTTAATGAGGGGAATAGGCGCGAGGCACCACGGGATGCAGGACGACACCAAATAAATGCCGCCTCTGGCCGTGCGGCAATTTTTATTTTTATATATACTATGAACGTTGTTGATAATGCAATGCAGGGGCATGACTACATAGTTTATCCACCCGGACGAGACACCAGGCATAATTAAGACCGAACTTCACTTGGTAAGTTCGTTTAATCTTATAATTCTCTGTTGGATGTGGAAAATAATTTTTAATATTATGATAGGTATCAACAAATATGTTACAACCCAGTTCTCGCAACGCACCACAGTTTGTGCTTTCTCCATCACAGGTTATTGAACGAAATTTTATATTTACTTCTGATGTTAAAGTTAACGTAATTTTAATTAATGCTGCTAATACAGAAGAACTCATTTGACATTTGAGGAAATACCCAATTGGCCATTTCCATGTTCCTTTCAAACTCACCAGTAGAAACACTAGTGCTTCTTTAGCTTCGATATCATTTCTTTCTACGGGGATGTCATATCCATAATCGCAATGTCCAATGAATTTTTCTTGCTGTTCATCCGATAACAATTGTTGTCGAATTGACATACTGTCAAAAGTTAAACTGAGATCTGTATCTTCTTTTGGGCTGTTTTTCAATTTTTCTAAAATTTCTTTGTGGAAGCCGGGTTCTGCATTTACTGTACAAGTCCAAGCTCTAAGTGAATTTGGATTAGGCAACACAAAATGCTGTCTATAAAAATATAATAGTAATATTATTACCTGAACAATGTTGCACAATTCTAGTAAAAGTGTTGTACATTAAATTATAAACTGTACAAGATGAATCTTTTTTAGCTCATAGAGCACACTTTTATGCTTGAAGTTATTCTTTATTCTTACAAAGAAATATTATATACTGACTGTAGTAAAATGAGTAGCAATAAATTATTGCTCAGTAATTTTATTATTCATATTTAAACTAATATTACTAACTAACAGTAATTTCTCACTGATTGACTCACTGAATTTATCACAGTTAGTACACAATTCATATATTCTAGAAATGTAAATACTTAATATTTATATTTTTAAAGTATTATAAGCATGAAACATTAATGCAACAGTAAATTACAATATTGCTTGCATATAAAATGTTAAGAAAAAGAGTTTTATTATAGAAATATTCCTTATTTAAGAAATATTCCAGTAAATAATATTTAATAAGTGAATTATAAAATAATTAGTAAGGAAAAAGGCCAACTTATTCCAAAGAACATAAATCTCCACAAAACGTTCTAAAGTATGTTCTGCTGACATCCTAACGATCAACCGCAGAGCAATCTGTAGACATCCTTTAGAGATTTTGCACTGTGTGGAATTAAAGAAGATAAAGAAGATACCCCAACTTGTTACAATTAAATGCATAATTATCTAAGTATTGATTATGTATACTTGCTTATGTAAAATGGTTTTCATGCATTTTTTGTGATGAAATTGCAGCGCTCCAAGTTATCACAATTATAACTCAGCAAACACAATGTAACATGTAACATACTTGTTAGTTGTAATATACGAGATATGAAAAAATACTTACCTTTTACTAGAAGAGGCATAAAATGCAAATGAAAAAAAGGAAGAGACGTGCAAACATACCTACAGAAGTTATAAGCTTTAAGAGAATGGTAATAAAGCGTAAGTGCGAACTTTTTTACCTCTTCGTTGTAACGCCTGCCACGAGAGGCCTTGTTTCTGTTCAATTTTTCATTGTTTATAATATGTTTGAATGTAGTTTGAAACTGACTACTTAAAATATCAAATGATTCCTCATGTAATATTTTTTTGTTCTTGGCTTCTTTTAGCAGATTGGCTATTTTAACATTTGATCTTTTCCTTTGCCGATTTAATAATTTGACTTTATTTAATTTAAATTGACTTTATTTAAAGCAGATGTTAATTTATTTTTCATTAACTTTTTTTGCTCTTGTAACAACCGCTGATAAGTATCTGCTACATTTTCCAATTGTTTCTTATGATCGTTTTTCAACGATTCCATCAGAGCTGTCAAACATTCATTTTCTGCTTTTAGAGTTTTAATTTGTAATAATAAATTATGTGGCTTATCTGTAATAATATATCTATTTTTACACATTATCTCTGTAAAAACAAAAAATTTATTTGTATTTTCAATACCAAACTTCTAGGCATATGCGTGCATACCTTCTGCAGGGTCAGATACAATATGTACATCCATGTTAAAATGTGCATCTTTCCCAACAGTTCTTTCTGCTGAAAGAAATAGTTTCTTAATTTCATTTTAAAATTTGTAATAATTATTAATATGCTTAATATGTTTAATAAACATATACCTTCTATAAGATCAGGTACAATATTTTCATCCATGCTACAAATGGTAGGACCTACAGCTGTTGCGACAATTACTGTCAATTAGAGTATTTTATTAATATTGCTATTATAAGGAATATATTAGTAATTAAACACATACCTTCTCTGCAATCAGTAAGATCAGGTGCAACATTTTCACCCATGCTACAAATAGTAGAACCTGCAGCTGTTGCGACAATTACTGTCAATTAAAGTATTTTATTAATATTGCTATTATAAGGAATATATTAGTAATTAAACACATACCTTCTCTGCTGTCAGTAAGATCAAGTGCAATATTTTCATCCATGCTACACATGGTAGAACCTGCAGCTATTGCGACAATTACTGTCAATTAAAGTATTTTGTTAATATTGTTATTATAAGGAATATATTAGTAATTAAGCACATACCTTCTCTGCTGTCAGTATTAACATGTCCATCTATTAACAATATTTCAAAATTACAAATTTTATAATATAATAATTGTTAATATTAATCAAGAACAATATTTATTAATAAAATTAAACACTTACATAAATTTATTAGATTATTTAGTTCTTTCAATGGGTCTGTTTGTAGCATTAAAAATTCTGTTGGAATTGCATTTATTTTTAATCTTTTTCTTTCTCGTCCAGAAAGAAATTCTTTTTTAAAATGTCGCTCACAAATTATACTACTTGTAGTTATAGGGCAGTGTATTTTATTTTTAATAGCTGTAGTCCATTTATCTAATAAAACTTTATTATTTGATGAAAATCTAAAATATTTACAAGTATTATATATATATTTATATATATGTATATATAACAATTCTACATAAAATGTTACAACATACACTTACTTAATATACTTACTTAAAGAAAGAAATTCCACAGTTTTTTCTTTGTACATTTTGACATTCATCTATGACACACTTGTGCGGCATGTTGACTTCCTTTATGTTAATAATGGTATAATTTATTTTATAGGCTATACTTATTTTACTCTTAAAGGCAATTTATTGCAGAAATACTTGCGTGTTTTTGCTGAAAATTATGCAGTTTCCTAGCCATTCTGCTGAATTTTCGTTATATATCAAGGCCTGATTTTTTTATGAAAATCCCACAAAATAGCCAGTAAACCACGTAATTTCCAGCAAAATAACCAGGAAGATTCCACATGAACACGCAAGTAATTCAACAAGAAAAATCATACTGTGTGGCAATGGCTTTAATCATTTATAAAAAGAATATTTTGTAAGTTCTTTTTCGATATAAATTTAATATACATACTTTTATATTTTCCCAAATTCTTACACTACACTATACACTACACACTATTTATGCGGCCATATGCTCACAATCAACATTCACAATCACAAACAACATTCCTTGTGCGCTTATTTGGCGCACGCGCAGCAACACACTTTTAGCACATACTTTTGGGGGACAGGAATGTAAAGTCAAAATATAAGAAGTTAGCAGTCTAGTTGTTATATAGAAGTCTGTGGGCGGGACGGTCGCGCACTCGCCTGCGAGAGACCGTGCACCTCGCTGACCGCGAGAACGCCAGCGCCGGGAAGCCATACCGCCCGCCAAGCAGGATCAGCTGCATTCCTGAACAATATTAAATAGCAAATTTAATTCCATATTATAAGAAAATCATGCTAAGAAAAGAAACGTATAAATAATTATAAAATTATTTTATAGGTAAAAATAATTAATAAAATTATCGCAGGGAGCCAAATTGGCTACCTTGGTCCTTCTACACGGAAAAAACAATCTGGTTGCACCAACCATATAAACAATAAAAAACGGAAGAATTAATTATATGGGTACAACAATCACATATCAGGTTGCTTCAACTACAATATGGTTGTAGCAACTAGATACGTAGTTGTAGTAACCAGATATTATATATATATATATTATATATATATTCTGACCGGGGTTATTTCGTGTGAGAATATCTCACGCGAGTATCCGGTATAAAACTTCGCATACGCGAGGAACACGGATGCGGCCCGTCTCGACAGCTCAGCCCTTAATGACGAGTGGCGGGGTTCTTTATTGAAATTCTTAAATGATTACAGTATTCTGGAGATCGCGAAGGAAAGAGGGGGAGGTCCAATAATTAACACGTTCGCGACAATCAATAAATCCATTGGTTCACTCTAAAGAACGCACAATTTCAGAAGCAGTACAATGCTTCATAGTGTGTGACCCACTGGTGGACACGCACGTCTATTAATATAAACCAGTGTGATCCACCAGTGGGTAATGATGTCGCGAACGTGTTAAGAGAGTCGATTTCATAACAATCAACGCCATTTAATAACAATGAGCACTAAATACAACTCGCGCCTTCGGCAGCTGTTACGTGGCTAGGTATACCCGTCGCTACGAATAATACAACAGCTCGTCGGCCGTCTCTCGGCATCCGCCCGCCGAGGATCCTTTGCCAAGCGCGTTCTTCCTTCACCAAACGATTCTCGATAACCTTGGGCACCAGCCGAGAAGACCTCGACCCGATACAACTCGCTACCTTGCAGAACACGCTCCGCAGCCGATCCTCGCGCCTCGCGAGCCGTAATAACCAAATTATCGAATTGAACCTAAAGTACCGCGATTATAACATTCCTACCATTTAACAAGATGCGACACTACCCTAACGCTACGATACTCAACTCTAACGATACAAAGGGGTGACTGTACAGCCTGTCTACATTAGGAGGAAGGTGACCATTCACTCGCGGACGGCATCCCTGATGCCGCCCCGCGATTGAACTAATGACCGCTCGCTGCCTCAGCGAGCACGGTCCCGAATTTTCGGATGTTTCGGTTGCCGTGAAGCGACAGCAATTGCCCGCACACCGAGCCTCTCGGCGTGATTCCGCGCAGCTCTAATCCACGAGACTCGGAAATTACGTGCTTAGGCTCACCACCTCGCCAGTTCCTTCTCGATCTTTTCGGCAGCACTTGTCGGCAGCAACGGCAGTCCTCGCTCGCTCGCACGCGTCCGCCTCAGACGCCACTAAACCGCACAATGTCCTAGCTTGTGGCACGCAGAAATTGGCAGCCGCCGGGATCCTTCCCGGGGATCGATGCGGCCGTTGATTAGAGGTGTTGAACACGCCGTACCTTTTCGGGCGCTTCTTGGGCCCCGGATCCTGCGGCATCCGGATTGTTGTAATTATCCTCCGTGCAGCGCTTTAGTGGAGGTCTTAAGCTTACGGGGGGGGGGGGAGGAAGTTCCCGGCCGGATTCTGTAGGATCTTCGCCCCCTTCACCGCCGTGTCCTTGCTATGGGGCCTTGCTATGGGGCCCCGTGCGTGTATTCGCACGAGGTGGGAATCCTCCTGTCTCGTGCTCCGGCGGTGACCTATCACTTGAAATAACGAAAATATCCGCGTGTTCGCCACGTACGCAAAAGGCGCACGGACGCGAAACAACGTTCGCCCTCTTCCTATATAGAGAGAGAAGGCGCGAGTACCCCCGTTTTCCCCCTCGGCTCGCCAGGGTTACAATGACGGCGGAATGCGCACATCATAATATATGTATATAGGGTGTCCCATTGTAATGTCCCACCCTAAATAACTCTTTAGTATTGAAGTTTTAAGGAAAATGATTTGAATAAAAGTTGTAGGGATTTAAGTGAGCTACATTATGATGACCTTGACTTTGACTCTGCCCTGCATTTCAATTTGAAAATCAACTTGCGTTTTTTAAATGGGAACCCTTATTTTTTTATTACACTGTGTTTTTCTACTAGTTAATTTGTAGAACTTTTGTCCAAAACATTTTTTTATTTGTCTGATATCACGCAGTCGCGTGAACTATGGCCGTCGTGGCAGATTTGCTTCGTCGACGGCCCTCACTGATGCAGACGCAGTCACACATGAACGATATTTTTTTGTCTCATTAACCATCAGTTTTGGTTGATCTTCATCTGTTTTGATGTTTTTTTGAAGGAATTCTCTTTGAGATAAAGGATTTGTTCTTCTTTTGCGGACGCAAGCGTAATAAAGTGTGCAAAAAAATTGTATTTTAAAGGCGAAGTACCTCGAGAAAAATGATGGCTCTGACATATGTGTAGTGCATATTGTTACGTCCTGGAGGAGGAGCGTAACTTGGCGCTTGCTTTCGCAAGCTCCGACGTACTCGCAAGTCAGCGGTACAGATCAAGGATCGGAGCGATCCTTTTATCTGACGCGGACGTACGCCGGTGGTCCTTGATTTAGGTCAAGGAACTGAATCCTTTTACCTGGGATAGGACCGTGAGCGACGGTTGAAGGAAGGGAGAATCTTTGTTGAGAATAATTAGTCGGTAATCGTGATTGGCTTACAATTACAAACAACTTGTTTTATTAGTAATTAGACGGATGTTCACAATGAAATAAAATTTACAAGCTTTTATAAAGTGTACGTATACATAGTTGTATAAACAATCGCGGTCTGAGCAAAATTCCGTGTTCGTTATGTCCGACTGTGATCGAAAGGTTTGGCCACTGGGGTCTGATTTAACAATTAAGGAGGAATGCCAAGGGGAATAGAAAACGGAAGTAAAACGAAAGGAAAAGAAAAGAGAGAGAAGGATAGATAAAAAAATGAAACGAAAGAGATCACTCAGGTAAAATAAAATATAAATAACTTACTGCTGGACTTCTCTGATCTTAGTAGACAATGAAAGGTGTGGTTGCTGCGTCTCTGTGAGAATAGATGCCTCAAGTTCTGCGCCAAGGACAGGCAGCTGGTTTCGGCAGGATCGCTCTCAATGGCCCAAGAAGGCACAAGATCGTTGCACCGAATAATTAACAAGTGAAGAATACTGGTTGGTCTAAGCCACAAGTTGGCTTGATTGTTAAGAAAACCCTGAAGGGGTGCTGGAGAGAAGCGTCTGTCCTGGATGCTGGATCGGCGAGAAGTGAACGAGGCTTTTGACTTTTCTCAAAAAGTCAGCTCGGTTGAGAGAGTGGGGTTTTTAGGGGAATGTTCCAGATGATTATTTTATAGGAGATAAGATGCATGTGACAATAAGAGGATTTCGAAAGACTTTTGTAAATAAAAAGACCGTGGCAGCTATCTTAAGAAGTAAATATCGATATTTATAAGAACGATGTCATGATGCTGATATCAGTGATTAAGTTCGTAGGAAATCAAATAGGGATTAGGTTAAGATTATTAGTATTTTCGGGGTATCAAAATTTCCAGAAATTGTTCGTGTGATAACTTGTGAGGTAGGTCGTGTGGTAACATGCCTGAGCGCATTTAGACGTGTAATCAGTAAAAATAAATTCGATTTCTCTTATTTATATAAGAGTTTTGAGGTTCGCTGAGTCAGCATGACGTAACAATATATATACGCAATTTTTGGGAAAGTATGATCTTGCGTGAGCAATGTTAACAATATGAAACTCAGCATCATTTGATCGAAGGTACGAAAACCCATGTAAAATGGGAATATAAAAATGTCTATTTCTCTGAATTAGGAAAAATCCTTACAGTATGTAATGAGGCCCACTTAGATGAGTAAAATGACGTACTTTGAGACCAATCGGAGGTGGGCCCAAAAACCGGCCTTATTGACCCTCTTCCTTTCCGCCGTTTGACAAAAGATGGCCCCACTAGAAGGTTATGTTGAAATTGTCAGATATAAAACGTAATATTGTAAGTTTGGACATCTGGTAACAACATAACCTTGAAGTATTAGTGATTCCGTATTAGCATCACATAATTTTTTTCGTGCGAAAATGTCAAATTTTGTGCCGAATAAGTGCCATTTGCGGGAACTTTTGATTTACTTCTTTAATTTGAAGAAATCTGCAGCTGAGGCGCATCGATTGCTTGTAGAAGCATATGGTGAGATTGCTTTAAGTGAGAGAAGTTGTCGTGAGTGGTTTCAAAAGTTTAAAAACGGTGAGTTTGACGTGGAAGACAAAGAACGTAGTGGAAGGCCGAAAGTGTACGAAGACATGGAATTGGAAGGATTATTGGAGAAAGATTCGTGCCAAACACAAGAAGAACTTGCACTTACATTAGAAGTGACTCAACAAGCAATTTCACATCGTTTAAAATCGTTGGGAATGATTAAAAAACAAGGAAATTGGATTCCATATGAACTGAAGCCGAGAGACGTTGAATGCCGATTTTACACGTGTGAAATGCTGCTTGCCAGGCATAAAAGAAAGGGTTTTTTGCATCGTATAGTCACTGATGATAAAAAATGGATCCACTACGATAACTCAAAGAAGAGAAAATCATGGGGATCATCTGGCCATGCTTTAACATCGACAGCCAAACCGAATATTCATGGAAAAACTCATGCTGTGTATTTGGTGGGATCAGCTTGGTGTCGTGTATTATGAGTTGCTCAAACCGAGCGAAACCATTACTGGAGCTCTCTACCGAACATAATTAATGAAATTGAGCCGAGCACTCAAGGAGAAACGCGCCCATTACTACTCCAGACATGACAAAATTATTCTCCTACATGACAACGCTCGGCTACATGTTGCAAAACCGGTCAAAACCTATTTGGAAACACTTAATTGGGAAGTCCTACCCGTCATATTCAGCAGACATTGCCCCTTCCGATTATCACTTGTTCCGGTCGATGGCACATGGCCTGTCTAAGCAGCGCTTTACATCATATGAAGATACTAAAAATTGGGTCGTTTCGTGGATAGCCTCAAAAGATGAAGAGTTCTTCCGACGTGGTATCCGAATGCTGCCAGAAAGATGGGAATAATTAGTGACTAGTGATGGACAATACTTTGAATTAAACGTAATGTACAGTTCTTTCACAATAAATTCCTAGTTTTTGATAGAAAACGGCGGAAACTTATTTGTACTCCTAATATAATTTTCAGGAGAAATAAAATTGGATTCCGTGCATCGCGAATCATCTCGTTGACACAATATCATAAATGTATTACTAATATTCTTACACATTTTTCAAAATCGCCTTAGCCGAATAAGCGCTGTAAGTTGAGAGAAGAATATATACTTACGACTTATTTCTTCCTTTCCTTTGAAAAAAGATATACTTAATAAAATATTAATATTAAAATAATTAAACACGCTCTTGATATACCTACTTATTGATTATGTGTTATTTTATTTATCGACTACGCGAGTGACCATACCGACAGCCCTTATATATTACTGCCCGAACGCACGCGCCTATCGGCATGCAACCGTCATATTGGGGCGTATGTCGATGCAACACCTGTACATATTATATGTGATTTCCGTCAAACTTGTCTTCCATTGAACTAGTCAATAAGGGGTTTTTGAGGTCACTGATTATGAATCTGGAGATAAATTACAAAATTCAGATGGCGGACTCAATATGGCGGATCGAAATTATAAAAAGATGGCTGATTCAAACTAACTTTGATATCTGGAGGTTTTTGGGGTCTCTAATTACGAATCTGGAGATAAAATTACAAAATTCAAGATAGCGGAAAATGATAAATAGCGGAATATGACGCAAATGACAGATCGAAATTGTACCAGTGAAGGAGATATTATTCAGGCAATTACATTTACTGAATTTAACAATGAATCGGTATTAAAAATTGATCTGTTGCGTCAGTTTTTTCAGATTAGAAGTTGGTCTTCCAAAGATTATTATCCGTCAGTATCCGAGCGGAATATGTAATGATATTCTGACATATCTTGATAAGATATTTCCTTGAAACAATCCCATGCTAAATTTGAAATTATATATTCGTTGAAGCCGAAAATGATTGACGAGATAAATTAACATCTCTCTCGCCGTAATGGCCATCTTTTCTAGATCGTGGATGGGAACACCTTTGTCAGAGCAAGTTAAATTGTTCCATAACTATTGTGAAATAAATAATAATTATCATTTCTCAATCCACCTTCGGCAACATGGCTTCATCTGTATAATTGTCGTTGATTTAAGACTTTCTTGAATCGGTTTTTACTATTCAAAGCTCAATCTTTTCTTTGTAACGGTCACGCTGGTCGTTTTTTGGTTGATCCGCCTGCGCTTGCGATCTTTGCAACGAATCGACAGGATTTATTAGGAAAGGTGATCGTTGTAATACATCTGTGTTTTTATATAAGTGCCGTTTATTTCCTTACCGACCGTAAGTCATGCGTATGCACCTTATGATACTCATTTTTAAAGTGATATTTATCGAAGCAGTTTGTATGAAAACAAATGATTTTTT